GTGGAAACATCTTATTATCCATTTCAAACAAAGAATACCTTTAGGGAATGATTCCCACCACCAAATAAAGACTAAATATGGCACATTTAAAGTAGTACTTTGCATTAATGAAAGCATTTAAAGGACAGATTTGGAAAAAGTCACAAAACAACGCATGGAAATTGAGAAATAAGAAGCAAGGTCTCAATTTGAGGCCTAGTTTAAAGGAAAAAAAATGTGATATCCAGTTTAGTGAGGTGGTTTAAGGCGAATGTGCAGCTAAAGTTGATCTCCAACTTGAAAAGACATTTAGAGCTTTAGGGATATTTAACTGAACTGTTTGAGTGAAGGGTCTGTAAAGAGATGCTGGGCACATTAATATAAACAGACAGAGACAAATGTGATAATGAAACGGGGCAAAAATGACCCCGGACTGGGAAAAAATGATGATAAGACACAGAGATAAAAGGTCAGACTGTGAGATAAGAGGCTCAGAGGGAAGTGAGGACGGAGGGATGACAGGAAAGAGGAAGAGGGGACAGTGGAACAGACAGAGACGGTTATGTAACGTGACTCGCAGAACTGGGATCAGACGGGGTGAGACGATGTCTGAAAAAAGGCCCAGAAGATGTCACATGTGTCCAGAAAAAAGTGTCCAGAGTAACAAAAGCATTGCACATTTCAATTGTTCATTTGCACATTCGGATCTATATTTTTAAAGAATGTATTTTTCAGTTTTATCATTTTTGTCTTATATTTGTATTTCTACATTTTATTTATTTCTTGCTTCTCATAGAAGTGTTGTGCACCAAACACCAAGGCAAATTCCTTGTAAGTCTAAAAACCTACTTGGCAATAAACCTTATTCTGATTCTGATTCAAACTTGTACACATTCAAACTGATTAAAGATTACCTACCGTTTCACGCTACTCACAGTTTTGTGCACTCCATGATCTTTTCACATCTAAAATACTGCATTAGTTCTTGTCACAGGCCCCACATCCCGTAATTTTTATTTATTTATTTTTTTAGGATAATGATGACAACTATTATTATTGTTATTTTTACTGATTGTGGCAGTGATATTGTTAATATTATTCTCATTACTACTATTATTATTATTATTATTACTATTATTATTTAATTTCATTTTATATGTTTTATATGGTGGGATTTATTCTACAATCTGTAGTCCTACATTGGGAGGGAGGGAAGGAGGGAATGGGAGATTTTGTTTATTTGTACTACCATGTTTGAATATGACTCAAAATGTGGGGACATTTATGTGTATTTTTTGGGGAAAATTCAATAAACACAATAAAAAAAACTAAAAAAAACAATCAGGTCCCATCACTGTGTTAGTCTGAACAATTTAAAAATGCTAAATTTTGAGAACTTTGTCAAATTTTCTAAGTTAAAGCTAGTTTACAAATGCCTGCGTGATCAGGCCCCTGAGGTTTTGAGTGACTGTGTGGTTTAAAACTTTACTCAAAATCCTATTGTACACAATCAAATATACCTGATAACAGGGGACAGAAGACTACACAAAAAATAATCTTGACTTATCGCATATTAATAAATTATTAATATTAAAAAAGTATTTCTGTTTTTTCTTTTTACATATTTTGTTAAAAGGCCAAATAAGGAATTCAAACAAAAAAAAAGTAATTTTCTGTTTTGTTTTATTCTTGGATCAGGCTTTAAAGGGTTAAATACTTTTTATTGAAAGTTCAGACATGTGAACATTAATAATCTAACTGACCTGATCTTGTATTTGTTATCATTTAGTTTGTAATTAGTTCTGTTTGTAGCTAAAATGTTGTAGTGTGTGACGTGATTCACGAAACATACTTATCAAATAAACCAATAAATAAAATAAATAAATGTCACACACTGAACCCAACAACAGGTAAGCATCTCCACCCAGCAGGAAAATCCACACTGGGTTTTAATGCCCCCTACTGGGCACTAACCCACCCCAGATAAAGAAAAAATACACTCCTATTTGAAATATAAAGGGATTTCTTTGGTCAAATCTGAGAGAAATACCAAATTGTAACACTCTGAGAGGCAGTAATTGTAAAAAATAAAGACGAATGATTAGTATTTCCACTTGACTAGAAAAGTGCTATATAACTGTATGTACATTTACACTTGAAGTGAAAGGATGGAGGATTTAGGATAAATTTAGGAGACAAATGTATCATATTTGATACGGTTTCTGAAGTCTTTTGGATCTGAGACTTTTTGCATCATTCAGTGGTAAAAGCTTTGCTCAAACCCCTGTTGTACACATTCAGATATACCTGATAACATTTCTTCATATGTTGTTGAGGGGCCAAAAAAAGACTTCAGACACAAAAAATCCAATATTCTTCCTATTTTTCTTGCACGAAAATATATTTTTGACTTATTGCACGCTAATTTGATCAAAATAATTTCTGTTTTTTTTTTAAATTCATATGTGCTGGACACCCACCACTGAGAGGCCAGCATGGAGAAGACGTCGGCCTGCGGGTCGGAGAATATCCGCAGCAGTTCGGGGTCGGAGGAAAGGTGCGCCAGCAGCCGCAGCTCCACCTGGCAGAAGTCTGACACCAGCAGCCAATCGTTAGTCAGCGCACGAACAGGAAACACAAACACAGGAGAGGGACGTCCTGAGAGGGTTTGGGGCTGTTGTATATTCGACTGATTCAAAGACGAAAAGGATTCAGATGGATAATTCAACCGAACTTTAGTGAATAATATAAAAAAAGGGATGAACGAATCATACATTACAATACACGACAGAGTGTAGTTGCTCGGCTAACATAGCTCTTTTTCTAGGTAAACTCCTCAATTCTACCTCTTCGTCTCACCTCCAGTTCCTCTTGCACTTGTGCAAAGCATCATGGGATATTGAGTCCATTCTGTTAAATGACCACAAATAGTCAGTTTTGAACCAGATACTAACTCTAAAACGCTAACTAGATTTATGAACTAACTGCAACTAAAATACTTACCCAATATTAAATTATAATATCCCAAATAATAAGTCCTAAACAAATCCTGGTTAAACCCAAAACAAATTCTCAACAGGGGCTAAGCTCGACTCCGGGGGCTGACGGCAGGTTACTGTTTAATCACAGGCCTTTGAATCCTGCTTTATGTTCCAGATGTTTTCTTGGAACAGCGTGAATCTTAATGAAAACAGAAGTTAAAAAAAAAATGTGATTCATTCTACATGAGTGAAACTGAAGCTGTCACATAGTTCAGAATTATCTTAATTTATTGAAAAACATAAATAAGAATAATAATAAGATTAAAAAATTCTAAAATAATAATAATAATAATGATAAGAATTATCCAAAATTAATTTAAAAATTGGGTTTTTCTTCCCATATATGTTTATGTTTGTGTTTATATATGTTATATACTGTGAAAACGTTAAAAAATAAAAATTATAAAAAAATTTGTTTTGAAAAATTGGGTTTTCATAAAGTAGAATTTAAACTGACAAATTCAACTCACTTAAAATAAAATAAATAGTTTTTCATCAAACAGGAATGAAATTAGATTAAATTAAAGGTGTCCACAAAAATGTAAAATCACCTT